TAGATGCTGTTTGGAGTCTTTGGCAGGCCCCTATGGGTGAATCATAGCGCAGACCCTTCGGATTTTGGAGCAAAGCCCTGATCCTGGGATTGCAGCATCCAGCAAGAAAACAGCAATTTTAGGTGATGCGGGGAAGAACTGTACAGGGGCAACAGCATCCTCCCCCACCTCCTCTTCCCCAGATCCCCCAGAGAAGCATAGGGATCTGTCCAGTGGTGATCCTCCCTTTGTCCTCCTCATGCTGAGTGTGAGCACATACTCATGAAGGTGTGTGAGCCAGCCCTTCATGCCTTTATCTCCCCCCATTTTAGATAACAAATGTTTTAATTGCCTATTCCAATTCACTATCAAAGTATTACTCTGAGGGTGGTATGCAACATGGTATGTCCGTTTAATATGATATTTCTTGGCCCATTTCTGCACCCTGTGGGCTGTAAAGTGTGTTACTTGGTTTGATGAAATATAACTCTGTGGCCCAAACTGGTACAGTATCTTTCACTGAATCCCTTAATGGTGTTTTTGCCATTTGCATCTGTCACGGGATATGAAAGCCCAGTCCAAAGTAAGTATCTATTCCTGTGAGGACCCATTTGTAGCCACTTGGTGCCACTGGCATCACTGGTCCAATATAATCAACTTGCCAGCTATGCATAGGGCCTTCCCCCTGGGGAATCTGCCCAATAGCCATCTGTAACCTCTGTCTTTCTTACTGGCTGACACAGCAGTCCTTATTGGCATTTTGTGCCTCAGAGGGTGTAAGGGGAATGTGTCTAGATTCAGCCCATCCCTGCATTACTGCAGCATTCAAAACCAAAGATACTGCCCCTAAATTAGTGGCTCTCACAATCCATTTTAGTAACGGTTCCTCAGGAAGCTGACAATACCAATCTACAAACTGAAATAACTCCTTTACACTGTACCCCCCGGTTTGTATAGTGTCTTGGTTTTGCCCATTTCCCTCCCAGACTACCTTCCTGGTGACCAGCGGTCATAGAGGAACTTCCTGTGGTTCCAACATGATTTTTCCTTTCCAGGTCAACCCAGGGACTAGCAGTTGTAGCTCTGACCAGACCGTATCTGGGCTTGGTTCAATGCTAAAATCAGCCCCTACATTCTCTTCCTTGCCGTTGCAGATATTATGGATAACAGAAACCAAGGAATTATATGTCTGCCCCTTTCCTTATCACTCTGTATTTCCATATGCACCCAACTAGCCAATTTCTCAGGGGTTAGATCCACCCCTCCTAAATCCCATGAATAGCTTTTGCCTTGGGTAACTGCAACATAACAGCTGCTTCAATCCATGGGTGTTTTTTATCCCATCCAGAAACCAAAGGTTTCTCATTCTCCTGCTTATCTCCGTTTTTCCAAAACCACATATTCCAGAGAGTCTGGGCCACTGCAGTAAAACCCACCAGTTCAACATCAACTGAACGAATAATTTCTTTTATAAGGATCAGCACAAAGCTGGTTCGTATGAGGCAGGTTAAAGATGTCCTAAATGCCCAACTTTTCTAAGCTGCTGTACCACTCCATCATCTCTAACATCAACTACTCCCTCTCCCTCCCCTCAGTACTCTCCCTCCCATCTTTGGCTTCCCTAATTCACTGCAACGTCTCACAGAACTCACCAACCGTATAAAGGAAATGGCTCACGCAGTTGTGGAGGCTGGCAAGTCCCACATTCACAGGTCAGGCGTAGGCTTCTTCTAATCCACATGGCTACAGGGGCTGACAAACCCAAACCGCCAGTTCAGACCACAGGCTGCTGACTCACAAGGCGTGGAAGGGGCTGTGGAAGCTGGCGAATCCCAGAATCAGCAAGTCAGAGAGTAAGACTCTGGCTCGAGTCCCAAGAACCAGAGGTCAACTGGTCATGACTCAGGATTCAGATATGGAGAGAGAGAGAGCCCCACCAGGACACACATATGTATCTTAGATGCAGGCCACACCCTAGGGAAGGGCGTAAATTGAGTAAGGACTGGACATGATCCATGCCCTCCTGCAAGGCTGTGACCCAAGACACACTCTACACCAATTCTGCTTCCTCAACATGTAGAGGTCAGGATCCACAACACATAAAATGGAGGACAACCATACAATACTGGGAATCATGGCCTAGCCAAGTTGATACATAACCCCAATCATCACAGGTTCTATATATCTTATTTGCATAGTCCCACTCAATCACTATGTGTGAGTCACAAAGACCACGGCTAGAAGGGCCATAGTTAATGAGGCAGCAATAGTGTAGGAAGTCAACCTCTTTTGAGACATAAAAGACTTGAAACAAGCAAATGAGCAAGCAGAGATAGGGGAAGAGAGATGCCAAGCCACATGAAGATCGCCCAGGAGCAGTAGCTCAAAAAGAGATGAGGAGCTTCCTCCAGATCTGACGGAGAGAGAAAACCTTCCCCTAAAGCTAGCACCCTAAATTCAGACTTCTAGCCTCGTACTAACTGTGAGAAAATAAATTTCTGTTTGTTAAAGCCACCCATTTGTGGTATTTCTGTTATGCACCAATAGATAACTAAGACACCTAAGAAGAAAGGCCTGGCAACCTACTTGCAAAAAAACAGCCACTGAAAACCCCATGGAGCACAGTTCTACTCTGACACACACGGAGTCACCATGAGTCAGAATAAAATCAATGGCAACTGATTCAATGGTTGCTTTTACCCAGAATATATGAAAAAACACAACTCAACAAAAGACAAATAACCTAATTGAAAAAATAGACAAAGGATTTGAATGGTCATTTCTCCAAAGGAAACATACAAATGGCCAATAAACACATGAAAAGATGCTCAGTATCATTAGTCATTCTCACCCACCACTGCTGTCAAGTTGATTTCGACTCATAGCGACCCTACAGGACAGAGAACTGCCCTATAGGGTTTATAAGGTTGAAATATTTACAGAAGCAGACTGCTACATCTTTCTCACGTGGAGTGGCTGGTGGGTTTGAAGCTCTGACCTTTCGGTTAGCAGACAAACACATTAACCACTGTGCCACCAGGGATCCTCTTTTGTCACTAGGAAAATCAAATCAAAACTACAAGATACCACTACATGCCTACTAGGGTGGCTATCCACCATGTGCCGGACAGTTTGTCATACTGTGGTAGCTTGCATGTTGCTGTGATGCTGGAAGGTTTGCCATCAGTATTTCAAATCCCAGCAGGGTCACCCTTGGTGGACAGGTTTCAGCTGAGCTTCCAGACTAAGACAGACTAGAAAGAAGGACCTGGAAGTCTACTTCTGAAAAAACCGGTCAGTGAAAACAGAGAAAAGACTGAAGTTGTCAAGGATTTCCTTTTACTTGGATCCATAATCAACACCCATGGAAACAGCAGTCAAGAAATCAAACGACGCATTGCATTGGGCAAATCTGCTGCAAAAGACATCTTTGAAGTATTGAAATGCAAATATGTAATTTTGAGGACTCAGGTGCACCTGACCTAAGCCATGATACTTTCAATAGACTCATATGCACATAAAAGCTGGACAATGAATAAGAAAGACTGATGCCTTTGAATTATGGTAATAGCGAAGAATATTCACTATACTATGAAGTGCCAGAAGAAATGAACAAATCTGTCTTGGAAGAAGTACAGCCAGAATGCTCATTAGAAGCAAGGGCGGCAAGACTTCATCTTGTATACTTTGGGCATGTTATCAGGAGGGACCAGTCCCTGGAGAAGGACATCATGCTTGGTAAAGTGGACGGTCAGTGAAAAAGAGGAAGATCCTCAACGAGATGGATTGACACAGTGGCTGCAACAATGGGCTCAAGCATTAACAATGATTGTGAGGATGGCGCAGGACCAGGCAGTGTTTTGTTCTGTTGTACACAGGGTCACTATGAGTCAGAACCGACTCATCAGCACCTAACAAGAACAACAAGGGTGGTAATAATTTAAAAATGGAAAATAAGAAGTGTTGGCAAGAATGTAGAGAAATTGGAACCCTCATCAATTGCTGGTGGGAACATAAAATGGTAAGACCATTTTGGAAAACACTTTGGCAATTCCTCAAAACGTTAAACATGAGTTACCATAAAACTCAAAAAGCCAAACCCATTGCTAGAGTTACCATATGACCCAGCAATACTACTTGTAGGTATATACCCAAGAGAAATGAATTTATGTCTATGTCTTCTTCTAAAAGAAATGAAATGTCCATGCAAAAACCTGCACACAAACGTTCATAGCAGCAGTATTTACAATTGTCAAAAGGTGGAAAGAACCCAAATGTCCACCAATGGATGAATGGATTAACAAAATGTGGTATATTCATACAATGGAATATTATTTGGCATAAAAAGAAATGAATGGGTAATATATGCTATAACATGGATGAACCTTGAAAACATCACACTAAGTGAAAGAAGGCAGTCACTGAAGACCAGATATTGTATGATTGCATTTATATGAAATGTCCAGAATAGGCAAATCCACAGAACCAGAAAGCAGATTAGTGATTACCATGGACTGAGGGGAGGAGGCAGTGAATGGGCATGGGGCTTCTCTATGGGGTGATGAAAGTTATCTGGGATTAGATAGTGCTAATGCCTGCACAACCTTACAAAAATACTAAAACCCACTGAGTTGTACAGAAAGAAGCCCTGGTGGCGCAGTGGTTAAAGCGATGAGACTGCTAGGTAGGCAGTTCAAAACCACTAACAGCTCCACGGAAGAAAGATGTGGCAGTCTGCTTGCACAGAGGTTTACAGCCTTGGAAATGCTTGGTCATTATGAGTCGGAATCGACTTGACGGCAGTGGGTAGGTAAATTTTTAGAGGTTTAATATTATGGTATGTGAATTATATCTCAATTAAAAAAAAAAAAGATGAACATGAACTACTTGTGAAATAAAAACTAAGTAGTATCTACATTTTCTTTTACTTCTCAAAGCCCAGCACCCCACCAAGCAGCCCCTTCACACAGACAGAAGAACGCTGAAGAAAGCCCTTCAGGCCACCTGCTCTCCACACATACCTTGAGGTGCTGATGCATGCAGTAACGGCACACTTTATGCTTCATCTCATGTGTGACATCACTGGAGAAAGGAATAAATCCACATTTTGGCTGCAAAGTAAACAAATAGGGAAGGAAAACTATTTAGGTAATGTTGTGGATTGAATTGTGTCTCCCAAAAATATGTGTTGTAAATCCTAACCTCTATACCTGTGGTTGGAGCCCTGGTGGTGCAGTGGTTAAGAGCTTGGCTACTAACCAAAAGGTCGGCAGTATGAATCCACCCACCAGCTGCTCCTTGGAAACCCTACGGGGCAGTGCTATCCTGTCCTATAGGTTCGCTATGAATCAGAGTCAACTTGACAGCAATGGGTTTGGCTTTGGTTTTGGTTTATATCTGAGGTTATAATCACATTCGGGAATGGGTTATTTTTATTATGTTAATGAGGCCAAATCAGTGTAGGCTGCATCTTAAATCAATCACTTTTGAGATATAAAAGACATTAAACAAGCAAGCAGAGACCACGGAAGAGAGATGCTAAGCCACATGAAGACTTCCCAGGAGCAGGGGCTCTAAACAGACAAGGACCTTCCCTCAGAGTTGACACAGAGAGAAAGCCTTCCCCTAGAGCCTGAGTTCCGACTTCTAGCTTCCTAAACTGTGAGAAAATAAATTTTTGTTTGTTAAACCCACCCACTTGTTATAGCAGCACTAAGAAACGAAGACACATAGTGTTTGCAGGATTTTAGCCTTTATATGAGTGAGTTCACACCGTTCATATTCTTCTACGACTTTTTTCACTCAACCTTATGCTTTTGAGATTTACCCATGTTGATAAATAAGGATCAAGTGCGTTTATTTTAGCTGTTGTTTTGCAGAACTTTTTACTCCTACTTCCTCATCTGTTTCTCCTGCTGATGGACATTTTTCCCTATTACAAATAGTGCTTACACACATGTGGGAGAGTTTCTTTAGGGTGCATACTAGGAGGAAGAATTTCTAGGTCACAGGGAAGCCTCAGTTTTTGCTACATATTGCCAAACTGCTCTGTAAGTGGTTGTACCAATTTAAAGTCCCACCCGAAGCAAAAGGAGAGTGCTGATGCCCTACTTCCTCTCCAGCCTTGGGCACCGTCGGACTTTTTAATTTTTGCCAATCTGATGGGCATGGGATATAGCTTTCTGATGGACATGGAAGAGAATCACTTTGATTGTTGTTTTATTTTGCATTTGCATTCAGACTTCTAGCCTCCTAATCTGTGAGAAAATTAATTGCTGTTAAAGCCATCTACTTGTTGTATTTCTGTTAAAGTAGCACTAGCTAACTAAGACAGGGAAAAATCATATACCTTTCAAAACACATACAACAAACTATGAGATAGAGAAATCCAAAGTGCAGCATTGGCAAGGGTTAGGTACAAACGTCCCCAAAAGTTTTACTTTCAATTCTCAGTGGGAACTGATGCTTCTCTCATCACATCATACAAACATCTCTGCCTCTAGAGAGTACATGGCCAGAACTCTCAGGGGGAGAAACATGGTGCCTTTACTGCTGGCTTGACAAAGGTACAACACAGAGCAGCTTTGTCTCTCCATGACGCACTGCAACTTGAAAGGCTCTAGAGCTCCCAGCTCCCAGAAGCAGGCCACTGTTCCCTCTGACAAGTGATATGCGAAACTGGAAGGTGCCAATCTGATAGTTGCTATGCTTCCAGAAAGTCACAGAACTGCCTTTTTAAAGCTATGGTCTTACTATTAAACACAAGTGAGCACTATGCCAAGGGCTGTCTTGGCACTGGAGCACTGAGATCTTCACCCTGTGGATGGGGAAGCAGAATGTCTGTCTGCAAAAGTATCATGAGTGTGAGTGCTCAGGGCCAACGAGGACCCATGAGTGGGTGCAATGGAGGTGTGGGAGAGACAAGCAATGACCTGGAACATCTGCGGGAGGGCCTCCTGGGGAGATCTGCACTGCCACCCTCAACTTTGGACAGCAGAGAGCTGAGGCAAGGGGGTTTCTGACCTTGCCAAGCTCCCCACCCTGGAACCCAAGTAGAATAGACATAAATGCCCTTTGTCACTCCAGATTCAGGACTCCCAGCCATGAGAAACTAGAGCCTCTAGGGGTTAAACAGATTTTTGTGCCTCTGGAGAAATCCCTCCTGAGCAGGACATAAGCAAAGGAACTGCCACCCAGTCTAACAGTCTGACTCACAAACTAAGCTTCTGGAACAAAGCATGCAGCGTCACCCGCTAGCGAAGTGAGCCCAGCAGGAAGGAGTCATGCAGAGGGAGGAGGGCCAGCCAGTGAGCTGAACCTTGAGGAGAACACAGAGGGCACCACCCAGCTGGCTTCCTCCTGGAGCTCAGCAGTCAGGGCTCACCCAGCCCGGGGATGGTGTGGCTCCTGTCTGAACTCTGGCTGGCAAAGGCAGGAAGCACACAGGGTGCAGGTGACAAGGGTGGGAAGGAGAAGGAGTGGCAGAGTCTCTGGGAGCTGGGGGTTGCCTGGGCCTGATAAGGGCCACTGGGTCCAGCGGGGAGTAGCCGGGACACCACCAGCCTGTAGAACAGGCTTCTGGAGGAAAGCATGAAATAGGGTGACAGAGAACAGACTGTTGGAAGACAATCCACTCATAACCAGGGAACTGCCTTCTCCCTTTTTACCCACATCTTTTTCCCCTTGACCAAAGTTCACCTTAATCTCTACACACAGAATCGGTCGGTGCTCCACAAAGTGGTAGGTCTGAAGTCTGGTCAAGTTAGGAAGGCACATAGCATAACCACTGAGAGTGTCCAGGTCCTTGTCACAGCGAGATTCTGGAAAAAAAAGCAGGGACCACCTGAGGATCAGTGCAGGGAGGACAAGATGGAAACTTGAAGACTCACGTGGTAAAGCATCAACCTGGCGCACAGAGTAGCTGGCCTCGGCCCCGACTCCTGGGAGGGGGTGGCTGAGCCTGGGAATGCCCTGCCTGACAGGAGCGGCTTTGTTTACCTGGGCTTGGGGCCACGTGGGACTGGGTTGGCCTCCGAAGAGGCTAGAGGCTGAGGTGGGTCCCATAGGCAGGCAGCCATATCCACATGATGGGGTTCAAGGGGCTTCCCTGCTGGGTAAGTGGGGTCAGTGATCCACAGGGAGAGGCCGACAGGAGCTCCACGTGAGGGCCTCTCTTGGACCCTGCCCCAGGCGTCTCTTCCCTCGGCTGATCGGAATCTGTCTTTGCACTGTCACAGACGGTAACCATGATTATAACGGCTTTCAGTGAGCTGCTGAGTCCTTCTAGCCAGTTATTAAACCTGAGAGTGGTCTGGGGTCCCTAAACTTGCAGTTAGTTGTCAGAAGTGAGGCTGTCTTGGGGACTGCCCCCAACCTGCAGCTTCCTTAACCCAGGAAGCTCAGAGAGGAAGGAGGCTGAAGGCCAGGCCACCACCAATCTAACAAGGCACTCAGAAAAAGTCTCTACACTCCTCTTAAACCAAGGTTCCTTTCAAATGTCCAACATCGATGTTCCCTCAGTACTGACTGCTAGAAACAGCACTGTGAACCAAAGTCGGCTGTCCTTCTTTCCACATAGCAAGGCCAGTTACAATTCATTATTACAGCTGCTCTTGTCGCTATTAAGTAGCCTGACTACTAGCCAAAAGGTCAGCAGTTCAAACCCACCCAGAGGCACCTCTGAAGGTAAGCCTGGCGATCTGCTTCAAAAGGTTGCAGCCTTGAAAGCCCTATGGAGCAGTTCTACTCTGCACACTTGGGGTCACCATGAGTCAGAGTCGACTTGACAGCAACTGACAATAAGAAAAGAAAATAACAGTCTCTGATAGCGCTTGCTGCTGGATGGCAGAGCCCAAAAGCACACCTGCAGCTTGTCTTCATCCAGGTGAGGAAACCAGAGCCAAGACATTGTCCTAGTTTGGCTTTGGGCAGCAGCCTCCCCCCACTTCTTGGGCCCTTTCTCACAAGGATGCCCTGCTCCATGCTGCTCCCTCCAATCTGAGGTTCCCAGGATGTCAATGCCCTCTTTTCTTTCTTTTTCTTAATCAAATCAGGAATTTTATATTAGCCATTTATACAACCCAACTGGCCAACTGTGCTTTCTTAAGAAGGCATTTCTATCCTCAACAAGGCTTGCATGATAAGTCCTGAGTCTCATCTGTGAAAGAATTTGACTTGGTTCCTGACACTCCAGGTATCAGCAAGTGCACAGGAAGGGTACATCTGGTGATGAGGAAGGGAACATCTGGCAATGGTGGGAAGGATATATTTGGTGATGGCGAGCAAGGTAATCACCATAGAGATTCATGCGTCTTCCTGGTTTCCTTCAGGAGGATAAGCAGGCACAGCTAGAGCCAGCGTCTGGGGGCAGGCTCCTGCTGACCTCTAACACCGGGCCATCTGCTGTGGCTCAGGTCGATCATGATAACTTCCTGTGACTCTTCCAGGCCACCTCTTTACCCTGCCTTCCCCTACCTACATCACCCCCAACTCCTTTAGCTCCCTCTTCCTCTCCCAAACACTCTGTTATAACATTGTATTAGTTAATTCTTGGTTACATATTCTATGCTTTGATCTGGTTATCTGATGCCCAGAACTGTATTTATGAGCTTCCTAACCTTCTGCCCCTGATGATGAAGTTTCAAGCATTAAATGCATCTCTGGAAAACATCCTCATGGCAACAGAATTGATGAAAACTGCCATCTACTTAATATGGGTAATAATGTCACTCTTCAAGTGGGATGTTTTAAATTACTAACAAATTTATAAGTTTCAAAACCCTTACCTGGTCTTTCGGCCTGTATCTTTAAACAAAGCTGTTTCACAAAATCTAAAGGCAGCTGAACAACTTCCTGTAAGAACAAATATGGAATACGCAGTGTGAGGATTTACAGAATAAAAGTCCCTTTATGATTTTAAAGGTCATATCTAGGGTAAGCACAGAAGCTTATGTTTCCATACACTAGGCTCTCCTCAGCGCGGCCTCTCCCATTTGGAGGTGGCCAGCAGCACCGAGCCTAACCCGCATGGCCTCTCCCACACAGAGTGCTTCTTCTTGCAGTCACTTGTGTCTCCTGCCCATGATGCTGGGAGGCAGTGTCTGCTCCACCTGGGCGCCAAGGACATGCTCAAAGAAGTCAGTGTCTGGGGACACAGGCCTTGGGCTCCCCGGCCTTGTGCTGACATTCTTCACCCCAGTATCTACTGATACAGCCTGAGCGCTCTAAGCCTCTCATCTGAGAAGCAGCTGGGCAAAGGGCTGCTTAATGACTAACATCTGGGTGAGACGTCTGGGCACAGCAGTCACCAGACCGGGACTCAGAGACCAATACCCAGTGCGTGCAGGGGAGACTAAGAGTCACTTCTCTCCACGTGGCTGCTGCTTAGCAATTTCCCATAATAAAAGGCTTTTGTTTCATAAAGTGATACTCGTGAGGAGTGTGCCTCTTAGCTCAAGTAGATACAAGAGACTAAACAGGCAGCTTCTGTCCGGAGGTGAGATGGGAAGGCAGAGAGGGTTAGGAGCTGGTTGAATGGACATGGGGAATCGGGGTGGAAAGGAGGATTGTGCTGTCACGTATGGGGAGAGCAATCAGAGTCACATAACAATATATGTATAAATTTTTGTATGGGAAAAAATAAAAATAAAACAAAATTTAAAAAAGGCTTTTGTTTCAGCCACATTGCTCACCATCTCTGGCTTCCCTCTCCCCTGTCCTCTGGGGTTTCCAAGACACCAGAATTCTGACTTCTGAAATGCCCCAAAGGGTGGCACAGCCAGCAGCACCACGCCTTCCCAATTCTCCATCTTAAGACTTCTTGAGACAGGGTTTTAAGGACTGCCAAGATGTGTTGTTAGTGAAACAATCAAGGTGTAAACCAGTGTGGTAAAAAAAAACAAAACAGATATAAACCATGTCAGGAGTGGGGGCCAAGCCAGTGGGGGAGGGGTTAGGAAAGTGGAACACCGTTTCCACTGAACAGCCTTCTGTACCAGCTGTTGAAGGTTGTACGACAGTACGTATGCCTGTTACTTACCCCTAAAGATGAATTAACATCTAAAACAGACACCAAGCAAGTGTCAGCAGCATGTGCTGTCCTGGGCACCAGGTGGCAGCCCTTCCTCCAGGAGCTCACGCCTCATCTCGTGAAATGAGTTCCTTTATGTGGCCTTTTGCCTTGGTTCTTTGGAAAAAAAGCTTGAGAGATTTTTCCACCTAGGCCCTGAGGAGTTGCGTTTACCCTAGTTTTCTACCCCAAAGAGTTTGTTACTTTTGTCCAGGTTGACTGACATTTCCTGGGTAAGCTGTAAATAACTTGGTTTTGATGCTTTTTGTCTGGTCCTGACCAGTATGCACCTTGAAGGGATTGGTCAATAGTCTATGCAAATGAGATGAGTTGTAGCCTACTATGCAAAAGAAGTGTCTGTGGCCTACCGAGAGAGGATCGGTCAGTTTGTGGTCCTGGTGGGAATGCCATGCCTTGAAACTGACAGTTATGTATTTTAGCAGCCAGCCCTACAGAAATTTTAGAGACAGAAAGCAGGATAAGAAGCAGCAGGAAGAAGCAGAAGGAAGAAAGAAAAAAGAAGAATCAGAGAGAGAGAGGAGGCAAGGAACTTCCTAAAAGAGCTGTAACACGGATCAAGGGCTATAACACTGAAGGTGGAGACAGGCCCACAAGTGGCCCAGCAGCAGAGCCGGCGGCGACAGGCCTGGAAAGGGCCCTGCAGCAGAGTCGGTGGTGATAGACAGCAGGGCCAAGAGGAACCTGTCCTCAGGGGGCTGAGAGGAGCCTGTCCTCAGGTGGCCAAGAGGGGGCATGCATAGCAAAGAGTCTCTTGATTGCAAGGCCAAGAGGAGCTGAGACAGCTGTCTTGTACTGAAGAAGGGAGACTTTGCCTATGTGCTTTCTGATCCTGATCCTGAGTTGTAGCCTGCTGATCCTGATCCCGAGTTATACCCTGTTACTTCCTTAATAAGCCACTTAACTGTAAGTATGGTCTGTGAGTTCTGTGTAGCCACTGCAATGGATTATCAAACCCAGCAGAGAAGCAGAGAATGCTGTGGGGAGAAGAGCTGGTATCAGAATTGGTAAAAAGGTTGGAGAGTGGAAGTATGTCTGACCTCCACCTCATAGGAATCACCTTTGGGCTGATCCTGGTCATTATCCCTCCTCTAGTTAGACAGTTTCTGACAACACTACTACTCTTACATTTTACACCTCGAGGGCTCCAAATGCCACCTGGATAGATACCACACCACCAATCACCACGCTCCCCTTCTTCCTGGATTCTTGAATCCCAATTTCATTTGGCCATCCAGCCCTCTGCCTTTCCTGATTAGTCCAGGGGATTGGTTTTAGAGGCAAATGCATGGTCCAGTTCCAACCAAAGTAAGGGAGGGTCTGTGGCATGGGGCAAGGGTGGCGCTGAGTGCACGTCCTCACTCTGCAGACAACACCAAAACGATCATCCATCTCTACTGGGACACTGTGTGTCTAGACGGGAAAGGCAGGTACTAGCTTTAGGACAGAGCAGCCCTGAGCTAGGGAGTGGAGGTGTGGCAGAAATGCAGGACCTGGATGACTTTGCTGAGTCTCAAGTTGACAAAACCAAAACTCCCATCCCTGGCTCCATGGGTGTCTTTAGGTTTAAGCCCATGTGGGCTGAAGTTTTCTGTTCACTGTTGCAGCTAAAAGCACCTTCCTGGTACACAGGACAGGAGCATAAAGCAGATCCCACCTGGGCCTCACCACGCCTACCACCACCACCCCACACACATAGGTCCCCTGGCTGCTTCCTGTGGCTGCCCACATGCCTGGTCGGTTATGGCTGGCCTATGACACCTGCACACCTCTGCTCCCACCTGTCCAAGCTGTCATTTGTGCTTGTTCCCAGTCTGTTTATGCCAGCTTAACTCGTGATTGTGTTCTTTACCTAAATATGTTATAAACGGAAAAAATGCTAATACATAAAAACTAACTTGAATGCTTCGGACATAAAAGATTTTAAAAGGAGAGTTATTGTTAGATTAGGTAAGGTGAAACAATAGAAAAGAGGAGTAATTGTAAAAAGTTGAAACTTCTAACCTTAGACTGTTTCATAAGAGTCCAAATTCTCACTGCACTTCAAAGAAACCAAAAGCACAAAGCACACAGATGGTTGATTATGGATGCTGCGTAGGTAAGAAAGATAAAGAACTGCAATCAAAGCCTCCCTCAAAGAAATGACCCACCCAGCAGGTGCAAGGCTGCAAGGTCACGGCGACAGGAGTCTCCCCATGGACTGGTCACCTCAGAGCCCATGCACTGCTGGGAAACGAAGCTGTGACGGGCACAGAAGCGACAGGTGACACACAGAAACACAAGGAGGAGGAGGCAGAGCCCATCCAGAGCCAATGGTCAGTGAGCACCTACTCTTAACACAGGTGCCTGTCACACTGCCCAGCCCAAGTCAACAGCCAACAAGGTCACAACAGTAGAAGTGTATTTCTCCTAAACAACGTTAGACTACTGATTTCATAAACGAGTTATATCTGTGTTTTAAGTCAAAATAAAGTGTTTACATTAGTGAAAATGTCAATTCTACCCAAAGTGATCTACAGATACAATGCAATCCTAATCCAAATTCCACTGGCATTTTTTAATGAGATGGAGAAACAAATCACCAACTTCATATGGAAAGAGAAGAGGCCCTGAATGAATAAAGCATTACTCAACAAGAAGAACAAAGTGGGAGGCCTCACACTACTTGATTTTAGAACCTATTATACCACCATGGTAGTCAAAATAGCCTGGTACTGGTACTAAAACAGATACAAAGACCAATGGAACAGAATTGAGAATCCAGACATAAATTCATCCTATGAGCAGCTGATATTTGACAAAGGCCCACAGTCCGTTAACTGGGGAAGAGATAGTCTCTTTAGCATATGGTGCTGGCATAACTGGATATCCATCTGCAAAAAACTGAAACAAGACCCATACCTCACACCATCCACAACAACTAACTCAAAATGGATCAAAGACTTAAATATAAAATCGAAAATTGATAAAGATCATGGAAGAAAAAATAGGGACAATGCTAGGAGCCCTAATACATGGCATAAACACAATACGAACCATAAGTAACAATGAGCAAGCACCAGAAGAGAGACTAGATAAATGGGAGCTCCTAAAAAACAAACACTTATGCTGATCAAAAGACTTCATTGAAAGAGTAAAAAGACAACCTAGACCGGAAAACAATTTTTGGCTACGACAAATCCGATCAGCATCTAATCTCTAATCTACAAGATACTGCAAAACCTCAACAATAAAAAGACAAATAACGCAACTGAAAAATGGGCCAAGGATATGAACAGACACTTCACCAAAGAAGATATTCAGGCGGCTAACAGACCACATGAAGAAATGCCCACGATCACTAGCCATTAGAGAAATGCAGATCAAAACTACAATGAGATATCATCTCACCCCAACAAGGCTAGCACTAATCCAAAAAACACAAAATAAATACTGAAGAGGTTGTGAAGAGACTGGAACACTTATACACTGTTGGTGGGAATGTAAAATGGTATAACCACTTTGGAAATTGATTTGGTGCTTCCTTAAAAAGCTAGACATAGAAGTACCATACGATCCAGCTATCCCGCTCCTTGGAATATATCCTAGACAAATAAGAGCCGTCTACATGAATAGATATAGGCACACCCATGTTCACTGCAGCACTGTTCACAATAGCAAAAAGATGGAAACAACCTAGATGCCCATCAACAGACGAATGGATAAACAAATGATGGTATATTCACAAAATGGAATACTACCCAGTGATAAAGAACAACGATGAAGCCGTGAAACTTCTTATAACATGGAAAAAGCTGGAGGTCATTATGCTGAGTGAATTTAGTCAGTCACAGAAGGACAGATATTGTATACAACCACTATTATAAGAACTCAAGAAAAGGTTTAAACACAGAAGAAAACATTCTTTCATGGTTACAAGGGTGGGGAGGGAGGGTAAGGGTTATTTACTAACTAGATAGTAGATAAGAATTACCTTAGGTGAACAGAAGGACAGCACACACTACAGGGTAAGTCAGCACAACTCGACTAAACTAAAGCTAAGAAGTTTCCCGAATACAATCAAACACTTTGAGAGACAGAGTAGCAAGGGTAGGGGTCTGGGGACCATGGTTTCAGGCGACATCTAGGTCAACTGGCATAACAAAGCTTATTAAGAAAACGTTCTGCATCCTACTTTGGTGAGTGGCTTCTGGGGTCTTAAAAGCTTGCAAGCAGCCATCTAAGATGAATCAATTGGTCCCAACCACCTGGAGTAAAGGAGAGTGAAGAACACCAAAGACACAAGGAAAGTGTTAGCCCAAGAGACAGAAAGGGCCACGTAAACCAGAGACTTTACCAGCCTGAGACTAGAAGAACTAGATGGTACCCAGCTACCACCAACGACCACCCTGACAGGGAACACAACAGAGAGTCCCGGATGGAGCAGGAGAAAGGTGGGGTGCAGAACTCAAATTCTAGTAAAAAGACCAGACTTAATGGTCTGACTGAGACTGGAGGAACCCCGGAAAGCTTGGCCCCTGGATTCTCTATCAGCCCAGAACTAAAACAATTTCTGAGGCCAACTCTTCAAACAGGGATTGGACTGGACTGTGGGACATAAAGTGATAGTCATGAGGAGTGTGTCGGTTAGCTCAAGTAGATACAAGAGACTAAACGGGCAGCTTCTGTCCAGAGGTGAGATGGGAAGGCAGAGTGGGTTAGGAGCTGGCTGAATGGACATGGGGAATCAGGAGTGGACAGGAGGAGTGTGCTGTCACAGTATGGGGAGAGCAATTAGGATCACATAACAATGTATGTATGTATAAACGTATGGGAGACTAATGTGAAATGTAAACTTCATTTAAACTACAACAATAAAAAGAAATTTAAAAAAATAAAGTGTTTACAGTACACGACCTTTCTAACGTTTGACTGCCTTTACTTCCCAGCTCTTATTCCGACTCAGAAACCAGTGTGAGTCCCATCATCCCGCTGACAGAGGCCAACAGCACCGAGCACACAGCAAGCATTCACTTAAAAAGAACCATAGTTAAAGACCCAGCTTGAGTTGAATAAAAGGTAAAACTACAGCATTTCCCTTATGAAAATGTAGCTTTCAGTGGAGACATGGTTGCACTCACTTCTCTGGTGATCGCCATCCCATCCAGGAAGGATGGATATAAGGAAGGCCCTGAAAGCACCCTGGAGGGTCTGGGCAGGCACCAGGCAGGTCGGCAGTTCTTGTAAAAGCCTCTCGGGGAATAAGCACCCTTCCTCACACCGCTGCCATCCCCAGCAGCACCAAGATCATGGACGTTCCAGTGCAGAGGCAAGGCCTAACTCCTGGGTTTAAACACAGGACCATGAGGTCACCAAAGTGAGGCTCAACTTCTAAAATTATATCAATGGTCGCCTTTCTCCGGGACTTAAGAAGCAACAACAGGAGAAATAAGGCACAATGCCTCCTGTCTTCCCATTAACCAAGCTCTCCAGCTCACAGGCCCATGTGTCTCCTGGTGGAGACATGCCTAGGCCAGTCAGCCTTTGCCTAGAATTCTCATCATAGGGGCTGGTTTTGTCTTGACCCAGGACAGACAGTCCCAGAAGACAGAGGACAGAAGTGCTTTTGTGAGGCTCTGTTTTGCCCTGTCTAGCTCAGGTCAGGTTCTTCCTTCCCTTTGGGAAAACAGGCCTGCAGTGGTCAAGGAAAAGAGCATTGTTTACGGTTTGTTTTTGCCTGGAAAGTGGTCTTTTGTTGTCCAACTGATACACTCCAATAACATCTGTCAGGAAGTTGACTCTGAGGGACTCTAAGGTGTGAGCAGCATAGTTTATCTGGAAATAAACTCTGTACCCTGAGTTTCAATCATGCCAGAAGCCCAGACAGAATCCTCTCAGAACAAAACGTCCCTCTAGAAGAAAGCAGGCTGTTTCGCTTTGGCAGGTGTCTTTAACCCAGAGACAGGCCAATAAAGCCTGGTATCCCCGGAATTGCTTGTGCAGGCTTCCCTCATACACGCTCAAGACAGTTTAATGTGTCTTCATTTATTTTGATCCTCTCTGCTCTGAGGACAAATAGAACCAGTCTGGAGTCAAAGAAGTCACTGCTGAGCCCTTGCTGGTGACACTCCTGACATCACCTCCTTTTCCCTCAGAGCAGTCAGTCACCACATCTACCCCGTTTACCAAACACCTCCTCCCACCAAGTGTCAGCTGACCCCTTCTTCCACTCCAGGGAAAGGGTCTAGGAAGCTCTTGACCGTTACAAGTTAGAGAAATGCTCACACGTGGCCAACGTAAGCAACAGCTGGTCTGGGCCGGCACATGCCAGCGGATGATGCCTCTGAGGAGAGTCTCTGTTAAGGAGGAAAACTGCCCATCGAGCACATCTACCCTCACAGCGGAGACACTGTCCAGGGGTGAGTCCTGTGGAGGAACTCAGGAGGTCATGAGCCCTCCAAGCATCTTCCAGCCTCACCAGGGTGCCTTGGACAGGGCTGACTGAAGGGAGTGCGTCTCCTGAGCCTCTGTGGGGGTAGGAGGAGGAGAAGAAGGTGGCGATGGGGAGCTGCAGGATGGCTGGCTGACCCTGGTAACTTATCCAGGACAAGAAGTCCTCGGCAGGGCTGCTCTGCCACCCACATAGCCCAGATCAGGCAGATGAGGCCGCCCTGTACCCAAAGAATTGAGGCCAAGCAATGGGAGAGGGACAGCACCTCATAGGGGCTCTCACAGTCACGGAACTTCAGTCTTCTTTCTTTCCTAAACTCCAGCATTTCAATATAAATTGGGTTGCTGAGAATCCCACTGGGTGTGGAAGCTAGCCTCCATGATGGCCCTAGTGGTCCTTGCCTCTCAGCCTCACACCCCTGTGCAGCCCCCTCCCCCGCTGCACAGGGCTGACTGCATAGCCAATAAGAGGCTGTGGAAATGACAGTCACAACTTCCAGGAAAGGGGCATCCAAGACACTGTGGCTCCTGCCAGGCTCTCACCCGGCTCACCTGCCATACTGTGAAGACACGGGGAAACCAAGGCCTCCACCAATGGCCTTGCCAGCTACATACGCAAGCCAGCCACCTGGGAAGCAGAGCCTTCAGTCCTAGCTGAGCCTTTGGATGGCTGCAGCCACAAGTGACATCTAGACAGCACCCTCACAATTGACCCTAAGCCCGAGACCCCCAACTAAGGCATTCCGAAGTTCTCAACACCCGGAACTGCGTGAGGTAGTGTGTACCGTCATTTAAGCTGCTAAGCTTGTAGCCCCTTGCCTCGCACTGCAGATCGCAAGTACACCCAGCCTCGCCATCAGTTCTGGGCCTCGCACGGCCCTCATCCTGCTCAGGCTGCATACGGTGCACCTCTAGATGGGTCAATGCCCTCTGACAGCCCATCTCAAGCTTACAAAGACCTTCCTTGGAGGATATTTTGCTGCCAGGACTGTTTAAATACTATGCTTCCTGGTAATCCTTAAGTTTCAAAAACACTTTTACTCCAGCTTCTTAGTATTGTTTTTCTCAGGTTCATCCTGAGGTACAGCATTTACCCAGGAGAGGCAATGTACCCCTGTTCAAAATGACAACCCATGAATCAGTCTGCTGAGGGTGATCTAAGATCAGCAGCCAGGCTGGCAGAGGCAGAGAAGCAGCGGGGACCAAAGCCATCCCCAGGACAAAGACCAACACCACCTCCTTTGAAGGGAGCCACTGTGGCTTCCTAAGCTGCCTCCTTTCCCCGTGTGTCCTAACAGCAACCCTCGCCTATAACAGGCGCTCCTCTCAGCTGAAGGAGCGCTCCTATCACACTGCAAACCAGGGAGAAGGCCCAAGGCTGAGGGGAGGCGGCGAGTCCCACGCAGGCCGCTGGTGCACCTGTCCCACCTCCCATACAGTGTGAAGCCCACACTTTTCTCCCCAAGTTGCTCTGAAGGTGTCCACAAGAGGCAGGGGCGGGAGCTCAGTGCTGCTGCTGATGCCACGCCATCTAGACTGTTACTGGAGGGGCCACGGGACTAGCATGCTGCTGAGGCTCACAAAGCTTCTCTGAACCTCACGTGTCACCCCTATAAAGTTGGAATGATAAGGTCTGCTCTGCCTATCTCACTGTATAGAATGGGCAAAGCACTTGGAAATTCTGTAACTAATGCAAACGATTACTATTAAGCCCAAAAGTTCCAAAATGTAATTCAGATGTTGGCATCACAGACATAGAATTTGGCCCTGAATTTAGACTGCATAAATAAAAATCACTTACCCCAGAGTGAACATAGTTCTCCCCAAAGAACTCCTTCATGACATTTTTGCTAAAGTCTACTATGTTCTGTAGGTGCTGAAATATTTCTTCTGAGGCCTGTAAAAGACAAGCACAGGAACCCCTCAGTGACCAGACCTCTGGGAAGAGCTCCCATAGTGAGCTAACATTTGAGAAAACAACAATGAACTACCTCTTAGCAAGGCTGCGGACACATGCGGCAGCAGGCTACAGACCAAGATGGCAGCAGTCCTCAGAATCTGGGGAGGGGAGATTCACTACAGGCTTATGCAAAACACCTGTGCTTGAGCCCCAGCCTACCCTTCTGAAACCGAGCCCCCTCCCCACTGCCCCACATCTGTGCTCTGAACCAGGTCCCCACATGACTCCGAAAACACCCCAGCTTGAGACCCAATTCTGCTCCTGCCTGGCCAGGTGTGCAGTGGAGAAACTGGTGTGAGCCCTGCCCTCCCTTATAAGTAACCTGTCTGTGTCCTCCCTCACCAACCCCCAGGAAAACAGTGAGCAGCCGACAGCAGCCCTGCAGGTACCTCCAAGGAAGCTGACTCTGAAAACCTCTCCCCTCCAAAAGTTACCAGATACTCTGGTGTTACTTTCTAGCCATTAAATCTAGAATAAATTATTTTCTCCCCAGCCAGAGGTTCTTAAAGGGTCAATAAGCTGGTGAGATTTGGGTGAGACAGGAAATCACCTTGGTGTCACTCAACCTCTCCCAAAGGTGCCCCAAGGATAAGCAGTCCAAAGGACCACTATAGTTCTCCCAAGAAGAGAAAGGTTTTACAACAGGTGGCCTGGTGGAGGCTGGACGGGTACATGGGCTGGTCTGGAAACCTGACACATGGCCCGCATGCAGTAAAGCCCCAAAGCTGAGCTGGCCCTGGAAAGCTCCCCACCCCTACTCCCAGCACTGCCTCTGCACACATAACCGGGCCTATGCATCCAGAAGCACCACCTATGTCTGTGGCGTGTCAACGTCATCATATCACAGCTAAGCACAACAGAATGCCCTAGAGCATGCCCCATGGCTCTGGACAGCTGTGGTAGTGGAGCTTCTGATAAAAATGGGTGTTGCTGGAATAACCCCTTCTTGTCCACAAAACAATTACCACACATGATTTCCCACTGATAATGCAGCTGGTGTCACAATGTGCTGTGAAATAACAAATAAAAGCAAATGACTTCCTTGGAAGACACTGCCTGTAATAAATTTAAATAGAAAAAACAAGGGGGTGGGAGCGCCCACAGAATGTTGGACCTTCAGCTGAGCCAAGGTTGGTTTTGGTTGGATTAGGAATTGCTGTCACTGAGTTGGGGAACGCAAGGGAAGAGAGTGGCTGGAGGTGGCCACCAAACACTTCTAGTTTTCACACTGATGCATTTCCACAGAAACAGAACATCTCTCGGCACATTTTACTTCAGGGCTGAGGCAGAGAAAGCACCTCAGCGAGCTCGGGCTCTCAGCCAGGAAGCTGCACCTGACCCTAACGTGAGCGCAGACGCCGCAGACGCTGCGGATTCACACCATCTGCCACAGCAACCGCCAACTCCTCCCGCCACTCCCCCATCGTTCTACTAGACAGAAGTGTCTATTCCATGCGGTGTCTTCCTCTGGACTAACCACTGTGCCCAGTTCCTCCACTGCAGCCCCTACTACACAGAACCCCCTGCTCTCTCCCAGAGTCCCCTGCTTCTCTTTCTATGACACAAATCCCTGGGTTGCACCTGTCACTTCCAAGGGGTCAGCTGCCATCTTCACAAACCAAATGTCCCACCCTAACATCCCCACTCCCTCTCCAGCCTCCAATCCTTCACACATCTCAGAGTAGCCGTCTCAGCAGTAAGTCAAACTACTCAACTTCTCTACACCACTGATCATAAGCCCAGTTTGCACTCTACCAGGTAACTATCACCTCTCAAGCAAGAAGCACCCTGCCACCCCCACAGTGTTGCAATGCACTGTTCACAGGTGGTGTCTCCTGCTTTTGCTCTGGTTTCTGAGATAAGAAAATGGGCTTTGGAGTCAACGCCACCAGGGCTCAAATCCCAGCTTGGCCATTAATGAAGAACAAGCCAGGGCAAGTTTCCTGGCCTCTCTGGACCTCCCTTTTGTTCAACTGTACAATAAGGAAATCCTGACCTCCCTCACAGAGCAAGCATATAAAGGACTCAGCTCCGTGCCCTGGGCATAGCAACATGTTCAATACAAGGTATGTATCACTGTTACAACTGAGACACAGATACAAACACAACAGCGACATGCTGGGTGGGATGACATCTCCATCCATGCCACCTTACAGGGCAGAGGGGAGACAGACCACTGCAACACCGTGGCAGAGAATGTGAGTTGAAGCCAGCTTGCTAAACAACAGCAGCAGCTTTCTGCAGATGGTCCATGGCATTCTGCTTGGATTACTCAGCCAACAAGAAACCTGATAATCCATTTGATTGATCTGTAGCACAGATTGTCCACCACAGCTTTATGGGCTTTATTTTCATAGACACAATTCCATAGATGGGGAAACTGAGGCAGCAGGGGACATCACTACGCCACACTGAGGCCCAACAACCTTGGGAGTCAGACCACTAGCCCGGGCTCTGACAAAGCCCTGCATACTTGCGGAGGACGGCCCTTCCAGCTCAGCGCTGCAAAGACCTCACTGGTGGCCAAGCCACTCTCCAAGCCAAAGGGTCAAAGCTCTGGAGTGGGCATTTGAAATAAGAAATGGTGGACACATCATCTCTGTCGTATTCAAGTTTTTATAACTAGCATTAATACTTACGCATCAGAAAAAAAACAAAGTTTTTCTTAAATAATTCTTTAATGACTGGGTGGCAACATCCCCGATCTTACCTTATTCCTATTTGGATGAAACTTCAGAAAACGCAGTACCACACAACGCTATTGGAAAATAAAACAAAGTCTGATTAGTACTCTGCCCAGAGCCTGGGGCAACTGACGGTGGCTCTAGAGAAGAGGTGGCAGCCCGGCAAGCCAGGGCCCAGGACTCCATGGGTGAAGACCATGTGGGTGCCCATAGCGAGGAAGCTGGGAAGCCCCAGGACAGCTCTGATTTCACAGAACAGCTGCCGGCCACCCAGCCGGCAGCCGAGGAAAGGTACAGCCATTGGTCACATGCTGGCAAGAGCCAGGAGAAAGGACACGACCCACTGGTCCACTGCCAGGAAATAATGAAGGGTGAGCTACTGCATATAAAGCGCTGCTTCTAATTCCAAACTCAAGAGAGACACCTAATGTATAACAAGAGTAGGAAGGGCTAAATATGCTGTGTTCCCTACAGATCTTCCTTATGTTCTTTTAAATGACCTTGTGCAGTCATTTAAAAGAAAGAAGATCTTTATTACTGTTATAGATGAACAATCATCATATGCTGCCAGCTGAAGAAAGGTTACAGGATAGGGTTTATAGCGTTAATCCATTTTTGTAAAAAAAACTACATAGTTATGTACGTGTGCACATATATGTATACGTATGTATGCATGCACACACACACACACACACACACACACACACATTCTACTAATCTGGTGGTGACCTCTCAGGCGGGAGGGGATGGGGACTGAGAGGGCCCGAGAAAGGCTTTGCCAGGGCTGGTGATGTTCTGTTTCTTGATCTGGATAAGGGGATATACTTTGTGATAATTAAACAAGCTATACACTTATGATCTAAGCATTTTTCTGTAGGTATGTTATCTTCAATTTTAAAAGTTTTTAGAGTAAAAATTTAAAAATAAAGTATGTATATGATCTGTTTGTACTGAAAAAAGTCTGGAAGGACATTCAACACAATTTTAACAGTGTTTCCAGGTAACAAGAATTGGGATTTCTCTTTTAAATTTCTGCTTGTTTAAATTTTCCAACTTTTTTTCACAATGTTCACGTAATGTGCACTATAAGAAGAATGTAAAAAAGCAATTGTTTAAACAGGCACAGTCCGTGCGACAGCCATTCTCCTGAGGAAGTAACCCAGAGATCCTGTGAACCCACAGGAAGAAGGAAGATGAACTCTGATGACGTGGCTTGGGACACTGGAGTCAAGTGACTGAAGCCATTAACAGCTGGAGATGGCGGGAGTTCCAGGGAGAAGGAACGAGGCAGGGAAGGCGGGTGTCCAGGCAAAAGGAACGAGGCAGGGAAAGCGGGTGTGCCCGGGAGAGAAGCAGCCAACAGGTGTAAGGAGGCACAGGGCCAAGAAAACTGGGGGGCTGGGAGGGCCCCTGCAGAATGGATCGTGGGAATACCTGTGCCCTAGAAAGGGCACCCACTCTCCCGCACACGCAGCACAGCTCGGAGGGACAGGCTGCATGCTCAGCCAACGGCCACAGGGCCAACACCTGGGCAAAGGAGCAGGAGGGCAGATCAGGATTGGAGGTGGCTTAGAAAGCACAGTTTTCTAAGTCAAAAAAATGCCTAAGAAGCAACAAAGGCCCTTGTGAAGACCAAATCCCCTTTGGCTAAGGTGAAACCCCCCAGCCCTGGCAGCCTGGCTCCATCTCCCCACTTCCAGCCCCACACAGGCCCGTATGGGGACCCCCTTGCCTCCTTGGCACCTGGGCCCAGGCCCCACTCAGAGACACTGCATGCTACCCATGAGACCCAGTCAGCCTGGTTCAGGGAGGTAAATGCCTTGCCCAGGACCCCCAGCCTCCTTTTACTGAGTTCTAGTTCCCAGGTGGAGCTATACACGCCTGGTTCACAGCTCATCTGCCGAGAGCTATAACATCCTTGAATCCCCAGCCTAGACTCAGGGAAGCCAACATCAATGGCATGCATGCTGCTACTGTCCCTTCCAAAGTCCAAGGCAGACACTGAAAAATGATTGTGGGAATCAATTCACTAAGGATCATTTTAATGAAACTATAATTCCATCAAAACTCAAGGAAAAATAGGCATCAATATGCAGAAATCCTAATTCTAGACAACTTTCCAGAAACTCAGGCTGAGTTCCTAAAAGTGAGCTTACCCTGCCATGGGCCTGCTGCGGCCACCATTCCCTCACCCAGTGAGCTCAGTCACCTATCAGGAATCACATGTGGAGTTCTGCAGTATCCAGAGGAAAGCAACAGCTCTCTTAACTTAGCAGGTAACTAATTAAGAAGTTGCCCATGAACCTTCTCCTTCTCCCAGGTGCTAGACATTTGAAGCTCGGGATTCCTGAGAAGGGCAATGCCAGGACAAGACACAGGGGCATTTTAATTGCAGGGAATTCCCCACATTAGCATCAGAGAAAGGAGTTCAATGGGCCCATGGACAAAAACACAAACTACAGGAATACAGGAATCCTCTTACCTGACATCATTCACCCATTAAATATAGACTCAGATTTCCAAAGCTCTGTGCCACTCTGTGCCTATTAAAAGCAAGAACAGCTTTTACTTACCATTGGAAATCACAGGTTTCCTTTGTACTACTGGAAACCCTGGTTGCCTAGTGGTTAAGTGCTATGGCTGCTAACCAAAAGTTCGGCAGTTCGAATCCACCAGGCGCTCCTGGGAAACTCTGTGGGGCAGTTCTACTCTGTCCTGTAGGGTCGCTATGAGTTGGAATCGACTCGACAGCAACAGGTTTGGTTTTTTTTTTTTTTTGTTTTTGTTTTTGTTTTTTTTTTACTGTTACACACATACACACTATTAACTTCAAGCATAAGTTAATTCAGAAAGCCCTTATCTGACCTATGAAGAACAAAATAAAGGAAAATCAAATTGTATACGGAACTATACAAAGAAAAACCCTAGCTGGTCTCAACAGAAAAAGACGTCAGAGTCTTGTGCCTTCAGGGATTACAACCTCTCTCTTGCTCACTCACTCACCAATAATAAATCATAACATCACTATTCCCACCAGCACTGATCACTATTAATACTAATAATTGCTACTATTACAATGGAAACCCTCGTGGCACAGTGGTTAAGGGTTCGGCTGCTAACCAAAAGGTCGGCAGTTCGAATCCACCAGGCACTCCTTGGAAATCCTGTGGGGCAGTTCTACTCTGTCCTATAGGGTTGCTATGAGTCAGAATCGACTCGACAGCAATGGGTTTGGGTTTTATTGGTATTATATTACAACAGCTAGTGTGTACTGGGTACCCGCAGTGTGTCAGGCTCTGGGCTATGTTTTGAAATACAGCATCTCCACACATCACACCCTGCCAGGCAGGCAATTCTGGTCCTGCTTTACAGAGTGAGGACCATGAAGCTCCAGGAGCGGTGGACCAGGTTTCTGAAAGCATCCACATCCTGCTCATGGGATGCAGAGAAGCCTTGCCCCAAAGTTCGTGTTGCGTGGGGGCAGCTGTCCTCTGCCTTCAAAGTGCCAGCTCCCTTGCCCACTGCCAAGATGTCAGCTGGGAGGGGGGAGCTCTGCTGGAGAGCTGCTATAGCAGAGGATACACAGACCTACTGCTCTCCATCCATCCAGCACTGCTCAGACATTGCCTCCCTAAACCCCTTTCCTTCTCTCCTTCAACCCTCTTCTTCTTTCCTAAGCAAATCGTTTTCCTCCCCACCAGGAAACCAAAACCAAGACCAGTCAAGAAGTTCTAAATTTCTGATACGTCCATTTCAAAGAAAATCATGCTTCTTCACTGACTTCCTTTATTATTCAAAAGCTGTCACCAGAAAAACTGACCCAACTTCTCCCACATGGGAATTGCAGTATCAGCCTGAAAGACCAATCTCAATCAAGCCAAAGTGCCTGGTTAATACTTACCCCGCAGCAACAAGAACAGCACACAGTACGGGCACCTGTTTTGTCTGGTCACTGATGACCCCCTCATGAGTCCCCTGCAGCCAGAGGTGTGCAACAGGACTCAGGTGGCATATGGTGGCAGAGAACAACCAGTGCCTCATGTGAAGAGGGGTTGTCTCGCAGGGAAAAGAGCAACACCGTATCAGCCCTCATTAAAGACAGCCCATCAGTCAGCACCCCCAAGAGTGCAAGGATTCCCACAAAGGACAGAGTTCATGCAAAGGGGCCAGTCAGGCACTGATCCTTAACTTGGAAAGCTCCAGGACTCATGTGAGCTAATGTTTTTAACCAGTTTTGAAGGAAATGATTCTTTTCCCTTTTAAACTGAATATATGAAACCAGATGCTTAAATTTTACCATTTTCTAGGATAAAATACTAATAAAGTGAAGAGAAAGGGTCAGACTAAGAAGGGAGGGGTTGAATGAATGTTTCTGTACACAGTCCACGGGCTGGAGCAAAAGTCTGCATTTCTTATCAAGAACAGGACATATAACCAAGGCCTACGCCATCTTTCATGTCCTTACAACAAAAAGCATGGAATGCTCACTCATACCTTGGAAAATGATATGAAGATTTAATGATTTTAACAAGCTGGAAAAGCTAATGAACAGAAGGACAAGAGGAACAATCTATACAAATGCAAACATACAAATAAATACTAAGTAACCTCAATATGTAACAAAATTTGAGGGATACAATTCATTACTTAAAAAAGTAGCAAAAACTACTTATGCAGTATACAAGCAGTGCTTGGGGACACCATGAAAGGAAGGGTACCACAGTCCCAGTAGGAGTGTGGAGTGGCACCCCACCTAGAAAGCAGTCTGGCAACACGTGCCAAGGCAGCCTGAAAGATGTGCCCTTTGATTCATGCCTGAGAACCAGCCACAGTTGTCAGAAATATGAATGAAGATTTATGTACCAAGATACTCAGCAAAGCACAGTTCATAATGGCTTTAAAAGTACAACAACGTGAATGTACAACCATACAGGAAGAGGGAGACCGTGGCAGCCCACCGATGAATACTAAGCAGCCTTAAAGATGGGCCTGAAGGATGTTCTTCACAGCTATGCTGTAAGGTTAAGTAAAAAACTTGCTAACAAAAATGAACACATAGTATCCCTAAGTATCC